ATAGTAAATGGGGAACATAGTATACCCACAATAAATGCAACGGTCGTGCTTGCCAGCACTGTGATACGTAATCAACGACCAAAACCCCCCCCCCCCCCCCCGAATTATCAACCGTAAGCATTTGAAATCCCCCCCCTTGGCTGATTACGTAATATGTGAACGACCCCTATATGCGATCGATATCAGGTCTAAATCCCTACATGCTTCCAAATTTTTTAATTTCCAACTTTTTGCACAATGTACTGGAATGTTTTGAAAAATAAATAAAATAAAATAAAGTGATATATAAATAAAACCAACGATTTAATAATGTTAGGAAGGCAAAATTAATTCCTGGTTTCTTAAGTCAGCTTTATAGTCGGAAAATAAAAGTATGTAGCGTCGATACCAAACCGATTAATGAGCGATGATAGTTGTTGACCATTGTTAATGATCTGGTCCAGCGCGCGCTACTTCGTAGCACTTGCGGCATTTCGAGAAGAAAGCGGCGCGCTACTTCGAAGAAATTTAGACGAGTAACATCCGTCAATGATAGTTGGTTCCTGGGTTGGAGGACTTCGCCGCTTCGACGCACCGCGCGAACTAGCATTCTTGCTTCGCTGTTCGCGAACTAGCATTCTTCCATCGCCGATCGTTGCTCTGCTTCGCAGAGAAACGATCTCGATGGGTTGACATCGTCAATGAAGTTCCTGGGATACACAATCAATTGACATACGTTGCATGCCACTTTTCGCGCGCGAAGCGCGCGCCGCCGAAGGCGGAAAAATAATAATATCTCTGATATTTGGATACGAAACATGTATCAAACAATCAACAATACAGAGTCTTTCTGATTTCTCAGTTTTTGAGTTCACATAGCCTTACTTATAAGGGACCCCAGGCTATTATGTTCATAATAAATATTATGTTCATAATGAATAAAGATTCGGCGGAATGACAGGAGCTGAGCGCCGCCCAGTAAACATAGCCATTAGCCATGTGTATACTGCGTGACACGCTGCGCTACTGCAAGCGAGAGGGCTCTGGTTAGAGTTCACCTAACCATGTGCTTTCGCGCCACTTCGGGCGCGCTTGTTTCACAAGTCAAGGCGGGCGCGCGCTACTGCAAGCGCAAGGGCTCTGGATAGAGCAATGGTTAGAGCAAGTCTTTGAGTGTGGTTTTTGTTCTAATTGTTCATTTTTGTCCATATTTCTTCGGGTTATGATCAAAGTTTTAAAGTGTCATGTTGTCCTGTGATGGTAATTTCTAATGCTGGAAGTTATCATGTTAGTTAAGTGCTGAGGTTTAACTGCCACGAATGTATTTTAATTTAGTTCTCCTTGACGGATATTACTCGTCTAAATTTCCTCGAAGTAGCGCGCGCCGCTTTCTTCTCGAAATGTTAGGCCCGATGGCAATTGTAGCAATTGTAGCGATTGTAGCAATTGTAGCGCGATGCGTTACTGTGCCTGGCTAGATCGGCGAGATGCGCTACTGCGCCGCGCCGAGCTGCCATGAATTAACATCGTCAATTAAGATGGCAAGTGCTATGAAGTATCGCGCGCCGGACCAGACCATTAACTATGGTCAACTCTTATAGTCCAGTCACTGTCAGTTATGCACATTAATCTGCACGATTTGAGACACTTTTTTCCTGAAGCACAGGCCTTCATCAAGGTATAGTATTCGTAACTCAATTTCACTCGGAGGCACATTTTTTAGCTTGGGCATAATCCCCAGAAACCCTTACCGGACGGGGCTTAACTTTGAAAATAAAAGAGTTGGAGCATGGAGACTTCCGGTTTTTTGTAACATGTTCCTCTTTTAAAAGTAACGTTACCTCCCCAGGAGAAAAATTCTTGTAGGTTTACAACCTACCAGGACGCGCGCCGAGTTGGACTCGTCGACGGTCCAATATATGGAACAGATATTTTACGAGTATCACCCGTTAAATATAGCCTCCTTGTATTGATACAGATCAAAATATGTTGTTAGGATGATCTTGAAAAAAACTTTGTTAGAATGATCTTTAACAGGATCAAGCCTACTACGGAAGAGATCCTAATAATCGATCAGAATGGATTCAGTGAGCCGGAGAGTAAATCAACTACCAGTACCAGCCATATTCTTTGACTAACGAGTTGCTCTAACCAGAGCCCTCTCGCTTGCAGTAGCGCGCGACCGCCGTAGGCGGCAATATATTCAACTTGTGAAACAAGCGCGTCACGCAGTACGCGTATACACATGGCTATGTGAAACTAACGAGGGTATTTGAGTATTTGAAGGTGCAGGTGATAAGGATCTGACAGCGGTAATATAGTCTTTGCTATGGACGAGATCCTAAGAATCGATCAGAATGGATTCAGGGAGAGTAGATCAACCACTATGACCAGTCATATTCTTTGACTAAGGAGTAAGGAGGGTATTTGGATCTGACAGCGGTAAATGGTAATATGGTCTTTGTTGGTTTTAAGAAGGCATTTTAGGCTTAGCTTACTGCCTCTTATCTGCAATTATGACTTCCTTTTATTTAATCTTCCAAATGATCACAACATCGTAACACATGATTAAATTCATGTTTTCCATACTCTATAATGTACAATAATCAGGAGTGTCCGCTTTATACGGATACCCGGACGATGAGCCCTCGGTCTCCACAAAAGATAATCTTTAGAAATATAGTAAAGTCTATAAAAAATGATCAGTCTAACTCTAATGTCTTTACAACAAAGTGTATAAAACACATGAAAAGCAGTGTGCTCCTTACCCCTTAGCCTCTAGCTTTGTTATCAAAACACGTAAATTCGATCACGTGATTCTATCTCATTGTAAACAGGGTTTATTTGTTTGCTTACGTGTAGTATGGTAAAGTATTAACACAAGTTAACTAATAATATTATGTATGTGAGTACAGATTCGAAGTGGAACATCGAGATCCGTTCTGGCGAGGTCTGGCGAGCTGGGAGGAACTTCTGAGATCGTCGGGAAGGGCTGATCTAAAAGCAAGCTTTGCTCAGTATTTATAGCTAATCTAACTAGACTAACGAGCTAGTCAACGAATATATGACATCTTACTTTGCTCTGCAAATATATTACATTTCGCCGCGATTTTCGGCCTAAATAGGGGGGGGGGGGGGGGGGGGGGGGGTCATGAGTATTTCTGAGAATTTTTGAATCTGAGAATTTGACCATTTTCGCCGGGAATACTCAAAAATTATTTTTGAATCTGAGAAATTCAGCATGGTTTCTCATTTTATCAAAAACTGTCCACTCAAAAATAGTGATATACCAAATCATTCTTCATATCAGTGCAATGTGGTCCAAATCCAATTGAGATGAGAGTTAATTTTTGAGAATGAGTTTTTCGCCTCTCCTGGAAACTCTCAAAAATCTCATGATCCCCCCTAAATAATCGCGGTTTTCTTTTGTCCTTGTAGTTGTACAACATGTACGCTTTTCCTATTTCATTTTTAGGGACTGAATTTTACGAAGGCTATCCATTACTATGCGAATCCCAGTTTTTTTTACATTGAATTTTTGAACTTAAAATAAACCTGCTGAACGACTTCCAATGAGTCTTAATGCCTGGAAAACAGTACCTTAGTTCCCAAAAATTTGTGTGCCATTATATTGAGCACAATTTATTTGAGCCCGAAAAATTTGGGCAGAAAATTTGAACTCATTTGGGCGACCAAAAATTTGGGCACAAATTCTTCGAAAAATGAACGATTTTCCACTAAAAATCGTTCATTTTTAGTGAAATCTGTCATTTCACTTGGTTAAGCCATGAATGACAGATTAGAAAACTAAAATTTCAAATATTATTTCACTTGGATATGAAAAAAAGCCATCTTTCTATAGATCTCAGGGCCAAAGGCTAAATGCCAAAAGTTTGGTTAGCAAAAAATTTAGCAGACGGAAAAGATTTATGCAATTTATTTGGTCTGCAAAAAATTTGGGCGAGAGGCCCGCTCAAATTTTTGTCGCCCAAATTTTTGGGAATTAAGGTATATGGGGTATTACTATTATACTTATAGTATAGAGGGTATTATAGTATAGGGGGTATTATAGTATAGGTGGTATAACTATAAGGGCGACGGTCGTGCTTGCCAGCACTGTGATATTTATAGACGCTTTGGCAATCAATTGTAGCCTACATTCAAGTGTCCGTAGATTAAAAAGTATAAAAGATACAGCCATCTCGGACCACAGGTCTTGAAGATAATTGTTTAAACTTAAGTTTACATTATATTTACAATTGTGATAAATTAAGCAGCACTACCCAGAGGCAGTACTCGGCAATAACGACTCGATAAACCTCAGATAATTGGACACTAACTACCACCCTTATCCCGAAATACTGGGTGTCGGCCCGTAAGCAAACCAAAGAGATTTTTACTGAGTGTGATTAATGTAATAAACCAAAACTTACAACAATTCGTAAGCCGTGAATAAATGGGAAAAGCGAGCGACCCATTTCATTCTCGGTATCATTTTGCATTTGAGAACGGACATTCAAATTAACACCATTTTCTTTTGTTTGGGAAAGGGAGACACTGGCAGCGGTCCACTCTATCCAATTATGGGTTTTGGTAAAAAGTAATACTATTATTATTAGAATTGAGCGCCATGAATTTTTACCTAGCTTTCTAGTCTATCACTCGCTTCTCTCAGTTTGACGTAAAATAAATTTAATTTTGACTCTAAGTATAGGGCGTTAGTGTCGAGCTGGCGGTGTCTTGAAACAGTACTATTGTGGGCTTTTTCACACCTCCATGTGCAGGAGTTCTATTTTCAGGACGGTGCCCTACAGTCCCACGCCCTAGACGAAGACTCTCATACCTTAGGGTCCGGACCTCATAGTTGATGATCATGAGTAACTGTTTACCTTTCGGTAATCGTACTGTAGTGCGACACGTACTCTAGTGCGACACGTACTCTAGTGCGAAGTCCGACAAAAACACCCTCTGTCGCACTAGGGTACGTGTCGCACTACTGACCTCCCCTTTCCTTCGAAGCCATGTCAAAACTCAACTGTCAGCAGGAATCCCTCGGCACTGTGGAAAATATGGATCGTTTAGCTGAGGCCCCTCGTCTTGTCATCGATGGTACCTTCAGCACCTCGCCTAACTTGTTCACGCAGCTGGTGACTATCCACGGACTCTATCCTGACGGCTGGAGAATTCCCCTCGCATTCGGCTTACTCCCCGGAAAGACACAGGCTCATTATGAAGCCCTCTTGGATGAGCTCCTTGCTTTTGGAGTCGACCCTCAATCTGTCATGAGTGACTACGAGAGAGCCCTGATAAACGCTGTGGAGACAACCTGGCCCACTACTACCAAGAGAGGATGCTTCTTCCACCACAAGCAAGCACTTTGGAGGAAGATGCAGCAACATGACCTAGTCCCGGAATCCAACGCAGAGAACTCAGCAGTACGGAAGTACTTTCAGATGATCGGTGCTATTGCCTTCGTGGACCTTGGAGACGTACTGGATACCTGGACGCAGCTAAAAGCAACCCTTCCCCCGGAGATGGATTCCTTTGCTGACTACTACGAACGTACCTGGGTCGGAACACAAACCTCCTCCCCCCTCTACACCCACTGGATCTGGAATCAACGGGATGCTGTCATGGCCGGACTGAAGAAGGAGCAGGATCTAACCCAATGGAAGATCAATCAGAAGATGCTCAGACAACCACCTCCTCGCCGACTGAAGAAGTGGACCGATTACGACCGTCGCTTGAACGCTGTGATTGATAGCTACGATGATTATGACAGAATGGATTATTTGAAGTGTGTTGGAACAATGATTTTGAATTGAATATTGTGATTGTAATCTTTGATTTTATATTTACCTTACAAGACATTTTTGTGGCGGACCAATTTGCGACGACCGAAATTTTGGCGGTCCGAAAATATGGCGAAATTGAACAAAAACCGTCACATTTCGGACGTCACAGAAAATAAGGGTATTTTTCATCATTTTTTGTGACAGTAAGCAGTAAGGAAATTTCTGAAATTCGGTAAAATCATGTTTAAACTTAGTCTGTATTAAGACTGTAAGACTTTCATGTTAGCACATACATGTATTTTAATGCAAATTTAAACTGTATTGCTTGACATTCAATTCGTCATTGGTGTGGTGATAATTTGTCCCAAGATGCCAGAATTTATTTATTTATTTTACTTGATATTACTTTTTAGAAACAAAATAAAGCAGTGAAGGCACAGTCATTGAAATAAGCTAAAAGATAATGCGACGGATTCTATTACGACGACCGAAATTTTGGCGGTCCGAAAATATGGCGAAATTTTCGGAAAACCGCCACATTTCGTACGTTATAAATATGTCTTGTAAGGTAACCCCATTATCATACACGACTGCACGAGTTTCGAGTTTATTGAAATTTGTATGTCAATTCCAAAAAACTCCCTAATTTACAGCGGTTTAATTTTTGTAGGTTTACAACCTACCAGGACGCGCGCCGAGTTGGACTCGTCGACGGTCCTGTATATATATGGAATATATGGAACAGATATTTTACGAGTATCACCCGTTAATTTAATTTATGAACCAGTTCATGCGACCGATCCTGATTTCCGAGGCATCATACATCCTAACTCCTTAGTAACGTCTAAACTTATAGCTGTTCACAATTTTGCACCGATAAACAATTTTACAAACTAATTTTTAGCCGATCGTAATTTTCATCGACCCTTCAAAAGACATTTCCTGTTTTTGTTTTCTTTCTGAAAGAACAGCTGAGAGACCAATTTTCGTATCGATTTCTCAAATCTATACGTTCTGATATCCTTCACTTTTCCTCAGGAAAGGATCAGAATTTTGCTGAATTGAATGCTTGTTATTATTATTTATGCCTAGTGTCTAGTTTCTGCCCGTTTGACAGACTCAATTTACGAAGATTGGAGGTTATATGCTTATGTTTTTAAATAAAAGGGAAAGAGATCACTTACTCCACGATGGCATGATGCCATCGTGGAGTATCAGATGCCATCATGGCATCTGATACTATTAGTATTATACTACTATTATACTGCTGTCGTTGAACAAGTATTATTATACCTTACGAGACATATTTAAACGGTACGAAAGTCGGTGGTTTTCGGACTACCAAAATTTAGGTCACCGTCATTATTTTCCCCAAATTATTTTCCACGTATTCTCTTTAATTATGACCTAACAAATGAACACTAGTATTCGATCATGAATTAACTTTATACTTTATTTTATTGATTTTCTCAAATATTAGGTTTCATTTTTGTAAAATAAGGAGATTTAAAAAAATCCCCAACTACCATGTGCAAGATTTAATTTGGGGTACGAAATTTGGTAGTTTTCGGAAAGAACCCCGTATTTTCGTTCCCAAATCATTTAGTTCACCGGAATTATGCCGAATATAAATATGTCTCGTAGATACATAAATGGTAGATACATAAATATACTTCACGACAATTTGTTGCAAAACAGGGGTTCAAGAAACCCACTTCCCCCACTTCCCGATACAACTGAAACTTGAAACTTTAGTTGCAGTCGATTTGATCAACGTCTAGACGCCCTGCAGAATTTCAAGTCTTTAACTCAATCAATCAACATCAGTCACATGAACAAGAGAGTTATCGGTCGGCGCCGACCTCTCGATTGCGATCAGTCTCAGGATTGATCCAATGGAATGTCACGTCACAACTCACATTAATTCGTAGTGGGTCTTAGGGTGGTAGAACTGTCAAATGTGAGATTGTTACATCCTGTAGTTTCTAGTCGACAGATCAGGTCTATGTCAAGGGTTAAATTGACCAATATAAGAATCGGATTTAAAGAATTTGGGCCGAAAGTCAGTTAATTAAAATTACAACGCCATCTTTAATAGGAACATTAACTTGTATAAAGACACATGACCCTACAGAATGGCAATGATTAGAGTAATATTGCTGATAGCACTGCTTTCAATAACCACCGTGCTCGGTGGTCCAGGTAAGAGCGGAACATTTTATATTACCATCATGGCATCATCATCACTGCTTTATGAGACCTGACAATCAATGTAAATATTACCAAACATGTAGTTTCCATTAGTCAATCAGAGTTTTCTCTTCAAATTATGATTCTACGACCACTCATTTCAGGGGATTGCAATGCGAGGAGAATAGGCTGCTTCAAGGACGCCTGGGACGATGTAGCTGGGGACAGAGCGATAGCCGGTGGACCCAGGTTACGTTCATTACCCCCACACAACCCCATTGTTGACTGCGCAAACTATGCTAAAGCAAGAGGCTGGACCATATTTGCAGTCCAATACAGAATTGAGTGTTTCACCGCAGCCAATGCTGGTCAAACATACAGCAGATACGGAGGGTCGAATGACTGTGTAAATGGTAGAGGAGGTCTTTGGGCACAGGATGTGTACGAGGTTTCATGTGAACGTGAGTTTATTTAAAACTTTAATTCATTCCATTTGAATGATTTTATTTTATAAATTCAAGTACATTATAACACTTTTGTCTTCTGCAATTAATTGGTATTAGAGGTTGGGTACTTATACAGTTAAATATATTGATGTATTATCTTTACAGCTGAGTTCGAATGTACATCTGAGGAAACGGGACAAACACTGGGGGTAAGTATTTCAACATTATCATTTGAATTTAGATATAATGATAGAATTATATTAGGTACAGTATGAAAAATCAAAACTAAGGGTTATCGAAGGGTTATTTTAACTGTCTTGAAAAGTTAAAAGTAATTAATTAAAAATAATTTGTCAAATATAATCACGATCAGCCGAACGAATCGTACATCAACGACTACGGAAAGAAGTGTGTATGTGGCTCAGAGGGATTTGTGTGTCTTTGTGATGACGCGTCCATGTCCTGCCCTGCTGGAAGTAGCAAATGGACTGATCAACTCACCTGCACAGCTAAATGCATCAAAGGTAAGGGATTCAGAGACATTTTTAACGTATATTTCATGTTTTAAAACTGATTAATTCAAAGAAATTTGATATCCGAACGGACACCTTTAATAGGATTAAGACTTAAGTAGAATTAACTGAAGTCTCGGAACAATGTTGTTTCAGATGCGGCACATTGTTCTAGTTCTGGTGATCCTCATTACCACTCGTTTGATGGCAAGTACTACGATTTCCATGGAACATGTACATACCAGGCAGCCAGTTGTGATGATTTCCAGGTATTTACAGTCTACTATTGGAAGTGTTGGTACAATATGTTGTTCAAACACGTCACATTTATTTAGAACACCATATCGTTTTTATCGATTTATTAACTCTTAGCCACATCACAATTCAAATTAAAGGCTATCAAGGCAACTACATATATTCATTTTATTGTTCCTTCAAATTGAATGTACAGCAATAGTTTAAATTTAAAATCTTCTTTATTTCAGGTTAACTTCAAAAATGTAGATTTATATGGACGTGCCCCGAGATTCACCAAACGAGCGGAACTGGAATACAAAGGGAAAGTATTCGCTATTGAGAACGGATACGTAGCAACTGTTGACGGAGAAAGGGTAAGTTTCTTCGAGAACTTCAAATTAAGGGAATATTTCAAATAGTTGTTAATGAAAAATATAAACGGCGAAATATTTAACAAATTCTGTGCTATTCGACCTGTTGAGCCTAATAAAGTGCCAACTGCCGAGGCATTATTCTTAAAACTCTCTTCTGTCAGGTGCAAGTGCCCTATGTAAAGAAATACTACTCGGGAGATTCAGTTCAGATTCACAACAAGTAAGGGGCTTAAAAAGTGAATAGTATTTCCAGATCGGAGTATGAGTTGGAGTTCACATTATATTGCATCTTGACGTGCCATAACAATATTAATTAAACCATCGTTATTTACATTTAGTCATTTGAACTAAAACTTGTTTCTTTTCAGCGGAGAGTTGGAGATTGTATTTTACCAAAACAGCAAGGGAAGGATTCCTGCTACCAGAATAAGAGCTAACAATGCTGGAGGGTAAGGAATTCTACAATTTGCATATTTCTTAACAAATAAAGCTATTTGGATTGAAAGAGACCATGGTGGATCTTTTTCTGGAATTTATCAAAAACACAGATAGGATGATTTCAAGATAATTTTATAAGAGTGATCTTCAATTGATAATTGGACTATGTTTATCCCAAAATATTTTGGCAGCTTCCAAACAATATCAAGCAGTAAGGTAAAGAAAATGATACAGGTACATCAACGCAGAGATTTCGTTACACGGTTCTTGCTCGGGCGAAACTGAGGGAATGTGTGGAAACTGGAACGGAGATGCTGCTGATGACCTGACCGGGGGCTCATCAAACTCTCTAGGAGTTATTCACCAGGTGAGCAGGCAACTAAATCAATAATATTTGACACTGTAACTTTGGAAATGTTCCATTCTTTAAATTGGAAAGCAAACAATTGCTGAAATAAATGGAAACATCAATGTATGCACTCATACAGCACTGGATCGATCTTACATGGATAACTTCAGTACAAATAACAGTTCTGATTTTAATCACAGCAATACGATGAGAACTGTCGAGCCCCACCAGCCCCATACCACCCATGTGACGACATTCCTCAAGGTCACGAATCTGCTGCACTCGTCTGTGATGCTCTAAAAGGTTATTTACACTCTCATTTGATGATTATCTAAATTATTGAAGCTTCTGATTATAGTTACTCGTAATGAAACATCAACTTCACTTTATTATAACACCATCAACGGCCAGTCTAGTAAGAAACGATCAGAAATTGTATTGAAAGTTTACCTTGGAAACCTAAGGCCAAGGACATCAATAATCA